AGTCACCCCTAGCCAGGAGCAGCCCCCTCCAATTCCCACAGTGAGCCTTACCGATAAATTATTTTATACATGAGCCAAGATGTGAAGAGCTGGAAAGCTTTCAGCAGTCACCACAATGTGGGGTGAAAGGTGGTGAGGAAAGAGTTTCCAGAGGAAAAATATTTCAGTTGAGTACAGCCTGGGGGATAGAAGAGCAAAGTGCCAGTGTTGGGAAGGGATCTGTCCTTGCAATGATGAGTTCCCTCCTCCTGTGTGTGGGGGAGAGTGAAGAGAAGCTAGCCTGCAGCAAGAACAAATATACCCCAGGTCTAGGTCACTGCTTTGTGGCTGACAATCACATGATCTGCCCTTGAGCACAAAATGGAAAGTTTGGACTCAGAGCTGCTTTAGAGGTCTGCTGGGATAAACGGACACAGCCTACGAGGTGTGCAGTCTTAGAGAGCTGACTGTGGCCCTAGACCCTGGCTGTCCAGGAGAGGTCTTTGACTACTCTCACCACATGCTGGCCCTAAGGGGCAAGTGGGCCTAGACAGAGCTGCTCCAACGTGGGGTGAGGAGGAACAGAATGTCTGACTACAAGGGCGGACAGCCTGCCTGTGCACCTGTGGTCTCAAGTATGCAGGCAGCAGGTGGTAAATGCCTGTGCACCAGCAGGAATGTGTCTGGCAAAAGGATGCCTTATGGGTTAGAAAATTAAAAGTCAAACTTAGTATTCAGATCTCTGATTGGAAAGTAGCTTTGGAGCAGCGCCTGGGACAGCCATCTTTGCACCTGGCAGTTTTTCCAGGCCAGGGGGACAGTGCCACAACCTGGAACACCGGATGGAACTGTGGTCAAAGATCTCATGTCACTGATTCTCACAATGCATCCCAGGAACCCCAGATGGCAGCATACAGATCCAGCATGGCACAACCTGTTGGTCCCCAGCACCCTGGCTAAAGCCTTTCTAAGTCCTTGAATCTCAGTGAATAGATTCTCAGATCATGCCAATGTCCTTGCGGGACAGCTGCTGCCACCTGCCCGAACTCCTGCTGACTAAACAGCTGATGTACAGTTGGGACATACTCACACTGGAGCATTGCCCCTTAAAGCATTGGGCCAGGATGGCCAGTACCTGTCAGCCAAGGCCACAAGGTCGCTGTCAGAGATGGTCGCTAGCAGATGGCTCTTGGGTGGCTGTCCAGAGACAAGGCAGCAGAAGCTTAAGGGAAGACAACCCCGTGTACTCGGGAGCTGGGTGTAGGACTTGGCCATCAGCCCCGTGAAGAAGGTCCCTTTTGTTGACCTCTCATTAGCCTGTCAGAGCCCTAGTCATTCCAGGAGCCTGTGTCCTGAACTAGTCAGTGGTGTGTAGGTTTTAGGTAAATGGTTCTTTCCTTCCTCTAGTACTCTGGAAGTCTACAGCAGGAGAGAAATACTCAGAATCAATATGTTACAGAATTGGATGCATCTGCTTCAGGTGAGGCAGAAAATCAACCATTTTACAGAATATGGCACATCAGCTTTAGGTACAAAAAATGCTGTGAAACGCTTGTCTCACCACCGGATTTTATCCCTCCCTCCTTCCCCCCCAGCCCTTCTTTTTCCTTTTTTGCAAGAGGTGGAACTCCAGGCCTCATGTATATTACTAGGCAAGCATTCCGCCATTGAACTACACTCCCAGTCCGAGATCTCTCTCTCTCTCTCTCTCTCTCTCTCTCTCTCTCTCTCTCTCTCTCTCTCTCATTATTATGTGTGCATTACGTACTTGTATGGGCATGTATGCCATGGCACATGTGTGGGGGTCAGAGGACAATTTTGTGGAGACTGTTCTTTCCTTCTACTTTATGTAGATTTTAGGGAGCCATCTGACTTACCTCCAGAAGATTTCTTTTTAAAATTGGGGTGGACAAACAGCAAGGCATGGTGGCTCACCACTGTAATTCCAGCACTTGGGAGACTGAGGCAGGATGATTGCCATGAATTTTTAGGCCAGCCTGGGCTAAAAGTGAGTTTTTTGAGATCCTGTCTCAAAAAAACAAACTTGGGGACTGGAGAGATGGCTCAATAGTTAAGATCACTGGTTGCTCTTGCAGAAGTCCTGGGTTCAGTTCCCAGCACCCAATGTCAGCTAACTCTAGTTCCAGGGAATCTGACACCCTCTTCTGGCCTCTGTGGGCATTGCATGACATGGATACACTTAAATGCATGCAGACAAAATACACTCATTAAAAAAAAAATAGGGGCTGGAGAGATGGCTCAGTGGTTAAGGACACTGGTTGTTCTTGCAGAAGACCTGGGATCGAATCCCAGCACCCACCCACATGGCAGCTAACAACTGTCCATAACTCCACTTCCAGGGAACCCAATAGCCTCTTCTGTCCTCCTCGGGCATTGCACAACACAGGTGCACTTATATGTAGTCATAACAAACATTCATACACATAAAATAATAAACATATTAAAACAAAACGGTTTTTTATTCTTTGTTTTTGAGACAGGATCTTACTATGTAGACATTGCCCTGGCTGACCTGGAATTTGCTATGTAGACCAGGCTGGACTCAAACTCAAAGAGACCCACCTGCTTCTACCTCCTGAGTGCCAAGATTGAGGAGGATATGTGCCCCCATGCCCAGATTATAAAGTGTTTTTTTTAAGATATTTATTCTTTTTGAATTTTGTGTATGCATGTATTGCCTGGATGTATGTAAGTGCATCCATGTCATGCAGTGCCCTTAGAGGACAGAGAGGATCCCCTGGAACTGGAGTTATGGACAGTTGTTAGCTGCCCTGTGGGTGCTGGGACTCCACCCAGGTCTTCTACAAGAACAGCCAGTGTTCTTAAGCGCTGGGCCATCTCTCCAGCCCCAAGATAGTTTTAACTGTATATATGTGTGTGTGCAGGTACCAACAGAGGCCAGAGACAGCGGATTCCCCTGGAGCTGGAGTTACAGGTTGTTGTGAGCCATTGAATGTGGGTACTGGGAACCAAACTCAGGTTCCTTGCAAGAGTAGTGAGTGCTCTTAACCACTAAGTCATCTCTCTAGCCTGCTCTAAAGGTTTTACAAAGTCTAAAGTTTTCCTCACAAGATTTTGCCTCTGTTCACAAACC